AGTTTATATGAGGTTTCATCCATTGTTTACAAATAACGTTAAATATTTTAAATCATTAATTCTTCGACTATCCCAAAAACAATCAAACAAAATGTACTGATGTGACTTAATGTTGTAGGGAACATTATAGCTCGACAGTGATTAGTGTTACGAATGATGTACGTATTTCTGTTCCGCTCAAGAAAGCTTTAAAATTTATTCCACAAGCAAGCACGCGCTTTAATGCGAACAAACTCGGGAACGCGCAATTCAGGAGTTTGGAACACAGCTTTTTTATATGGGTTTAGTGAGCTGAAAGAGAGTAAATGTTTCATTCTACAGACAAACACCCCATTAATTAAGCTGAAAGGGAGTAAAATTTCAAATACATATTTTTACCTGATGAAGGGTAATGTGCGAGAAATCGTCGATATCTTGGAGCTGTATTTCGGTTGCAGGTTGCACCGGCATTGGGCTCACTTGAGTCATTTCTACCGGAGAGGTTCGATCGTAAACACTGTGTTGTTCGATGGCCGAAATCAAACAAGATACACAACTTGATGGTTTAATCCGCTATCAAGAAAGCGCGCTACAGNTCAATTTTTGTTGTGTGAACTACATCCGATTTTGCCTGACAGTTACTTCTAAAAAAAATGTTTCAAAATTTGCTCGGAAGCCTTTTAATTACCTTTACAAATAAAAGTGTTTCGGTGAAAGCTTTCTCTTTAATTCACTCGCTATCAAATTGTTAAATTCAAGGGGGATTTTCCCGTAATTAAACTCGTAATTGTAGCCCTAAATCATTCGGGTTGTTTTGGCAATCATTTTTTTATGTGTTAGAAAAAAATAAAAATGTTATTCACTAACATAGTTCGGTCCGTATTGGGGAAAACTGTGCCTGAGGTCTTCCCGTAGTTAAACTGTTTAATTACGGGAAAATCCTCCTTGAACTTAACAATTTGATAGCGAGTGAGTTATAAAGAAAAGAAACGTTATTAAAATTAAAGAGAGCAGGCCAACTGGGAGCAGGCCAACTGGGAGCAGGTCGTTAAGTTGATCAACTTAACGGCCTGCTCCCAGTTGGCTTTACCAATCGGTAGAGCGCTGTACTAGTATCGTAGAGGTCAGCGGTTCGAATCCCGTACAGGCCTCATTTTTTTCAGGTCTGATTTTCGCTATTGCATAAATGGCGCTCTCTACTGCGAGGATCGTGCATCATACGTATTTTTGGTGTTGTTACAAAGGCCTCACCATTATGCCTTGTGACACAATTTCATGGTGTTCAGCAAGAAAGTGTAACTCTGCATCAAGCGGCCGATAACATCGCAGTTACTAAACCAAACTACATTTCTATATTTGAAAAGATATGCAGTGCTTTAGACCACATGCACTCTAGAGGATACCTTCATAACGACATTAAAGGAAACAATGTTGTACTAGAACGGCCCTTAGCCTCTGGGGAATTCAGCCCAGTTCTTGTTGACTTTGGAAAGAGCCTCAAGATTTCATCTGCTCCGTTGTACCGCAGAGACGGCACCGTTATGAAATGCGAAGGAAAAACCTATTTAGCCCCTGAGGTTGTTAGTGAACGGCTCTACAGCGTTGCCAGTGACATTTTTTCATTGGGAAGAATCCTTAAGGCGATATCGTCTTTGTTGGGTTTTTGTGAGAGGTTCCGAGAATAGGTTAAATGTCAACCAGAGATAAGCCGTCAGAGAGACCTAGCCTAGATGTTTTCTCTCGTACGATTGCTGTTGTTAAATTTTAGGTGTAGTGTTTTCCAAGTCAGCAGACCCAATTTCAGATAGAGTCGCATCATTGCATAAAATCTCACCTTCTGATCGGTTAACGATGCGAGGTGTTTAGCGAGACTAAGTGATATTGTTTATTTATCTAAGTTTCGCCGACCGGCAGGGACACCGCAACAGCTTGCGCAAATTACTGCGGGCCCAGTAAACCCACCCATTCCACCCCAGGGGAGGACATCCATCACGCAGTAATGTCGTGCGTGGGAAATTAACATC